CCTCCCTCTGCCTCCCTCTGCCTCCCCCTGCCTCCCCTCCATCATGGCTGTGATGATAACCTGGCATACAGGCCTGCTTCCTGCAGGTCGGTTTAATGATGCTAAAAGGACGCCGTCCTGCTCAATGGCAGACTGGCAGAGGAAGAGGAAGATGGAGGAAGATCATGCAAACATAAATCAATCTGACTGGATGATCTGGTTGAAACATAAAGTGCCTATAGACGTGTTGTGAATTGGTGCTATAGAAATAAACTGAATCGAATTGATAAAAAGGATAAAAAGAAGCGATTCAGCAGGTCAGATGAGGATGAGAGCAGCAGACGCTGCAGTAAAATCCAGCCTGTTAGCAGGAGATCAGAGGATGATTGATCTTCTTTCAGACCAATAAGGGTTCAGCTGTTAATAACTTCCCTCTAAATCATTTCCTCAGTCTGACGGATCCACTGAGCAGAAATTAGTTTGTTTTTACAACATTTCATTAAATCAATCTAATAATCATTTCTCTGCTTTATTCCCCAAACGGCTTCATCTGTTTTCTTCTCCCATCAGACTGATCTTCCAAAGGAAAATCAATCCCAGATGTGTTTCTGCTCTTTGGACGTTTGTTTCCCTCTAACTGCCACCAGGAGGCTTCTCATCCGTTACTGAAATATGTTCTTGTGCAACTTCCCCAGAAACGCCATCCCTGCAGAGAGGCAGGCAGACCCCTGGAAGCCAGCATGCAGAAACAGACTGGAAATACTGGTTCTTCAGCGTCAGGGCTGGGCCTAATGCTGCTTATAGGTGCAGTGCTGGTGGAAGCGGCGGAGAACATGGAGGGAAACACCACAGCCTCTGAGGTGAGCCTCTCATTCAGAAGACAGGGATTGAGGTTTGAGTGTGAGCTCTGCAGCAGTGCTTTTCAAACTCCGCCATCAGGCCCTGCTGTCCTCAGCACCTCATCCATCGACTGCATCCAGCTGCGCTTCATTAGTCGCCCGGTACTTGGAGTTAGATGGGTGGAAACATTCAGAATGAGCAGGACAGTAAGTTCCAGGGACCAGGTCTGCAAAGCGCTGCTCTACAGGGAGGACTGTCATCCACTGCAGGCTTAACAGATAGGAGGGCCCGTTCTGCATGGAGCTGCTTCCTGATGTTCCTCAATTGCAGGGTGTTGTCCCCGTCATGATGTGGTATCTGAGTTGTGGAAGTTACATGACAATTACTAGACAGAACAAAGAACAGAGAACAGAAACAAAGGGAAACTTTCCTCTTCTTTTCTGTGAAGCATTTTGTTCTGTGATTAGAAAATCAGAGCAAGCTTGTTAGAATGTGTCCTACAAGTCAAGAGGATGGATGAGGTATGGAGGACGACCCTCCCGACCTTTACTAGGCATCACAGATCAGAGGGTCAAATTAGAATCAAAGAAAATCTGGATATTCACTAGCATTGATGGCTGTCTCCCCCTAGTGGCCTGGATTAAAACTGTTATGCAAAGCTAGTTACTTGCAGCCGTTTCGTACTGCATGTATTTTGTATAATCATTCTATTTGCTGCAGGTCTGCGCTTTGCAGGTCTCCCGTTGGGCCCAATGTGTGGATTTAAAAGCTGGGTGTGAGGGATTGCTGCAGATCCAGGAGGAGCACATCCTGCTGGGCAATGACCGGATGAAACCAGCTGCTTTTCCTCTATTTTCTCTGTAAAACACCTTGAGATGACATGTGGTGATTTTCACATGATACTCAGTTCTATTCAGTTTATTTCTATAGATTCACATCATGTCATCTCAGGTCACTTTATAGATCCAGATCAACCAGATCAT